ATTAAATGTTGTTATATCAAAAAAAGAAAAGAAATGGGCTGTGTTTTGCAGAGGTGGGCCAGTGAATTTTTCTTTTCAGGTTGGACAGGGTCCAGGGTGGGAACCTAACATTCTTCTCCTGTTATAAAAGAGAAAAAGGTGCTTGTGTCGCTTGGCATGACTCAGGGCTATGTGGAGAAAAAACGGGAGGGTTCAGATGGTTCTGCTTGGGGCTCCTGTGTGGTCTCAGTGTAGTGGGCTGTCAGGAGCGGTTGTCTGACTGTCATGGTTCGGATAAAATGTTAGAAATCTTATACATGGTCTGAATAGCAACAGAAGGCAACTTGGGACCAGAGACCCCAGTAGGAAGTAGCCAGTGTAAGGTTTTTGGTGCTGTGGACACACTAATAGGGGTGAAAAAAAAAATCTGGGCGGCGCTGCAAGAGATTACAGGACTCTTGGAGGAGGATGCTGTTGGGGAGAGGGTATCTAGTTGGCGGGCTGGAGTAGTGGTGGTCTACATGGAGGGGCCAGGACTCGAAGCATCCTGTCCAGAGAGGATTGGAGGGTCTAGAGGGAGAGTATTTGAGGACTAGAAGAACAGGGCCAGAAACGCATCAGCCAGGACCTCCCTGGAAGAGCCTACCGCACCATCCCATGGAAGAAGTGCCCCTGGCCTGCTTTCTCAATCCGGTGGCCTGTTCCCCCAGTTCTTTGGCTGCCCCAAAGATTATGCCTGATCAGATGAATTAGAAACAGCACTCCGCTCCGAGAAAAATGCAGGTTCTTCCGTTTTCTTGGGTAAGTCAATCAAGTGCATAGCAGTTCCAAAGGCCCACCTGTTTTGTAGGTCTATAACACAATCAGATTTTTTTTGCCTGGCAAGTGCAAGAGCCTGAGTTCAATTCCCAGTTCTGGGAAAAGGTTTGTTTTTTTTTTTTTTTTTTGGTGGTGGGGGTGGGGTTACCAGGAATCGAACTCAGTACCTTGCACTTGACAAAGAATTAGAGATCTTTGTGAGCTCCGAAGACACCTCCAGAGACCTTCTGGTGAGATGTGGCAACAGCCACCTCTGCAACCCAGCTGTGGTCACCCCAGTCTCCATCTGCAAAGGATGCTCAAGGGGCGCTGAGGGAGGCTCCTAGGGGCGCCAGAGTACAAGACTGCCGATGCCTTGCAACTATGGGAGAGACAGGCGTCTCTAGGGTGGGCCTGACCTCAAGACAAAATATGAACAAATGCAGCCATACCTGCCTAGGGATGGACATCAGAGATTACTATTCTAAGTAAGTATTAATGGCCTTGAAAAAGCCCAGGAAGAGTCACTAACCCAACCCCTACTGGAAAAGCCCAGGTTTTGTATTTATGCCAGCTTGCTATTGCTATGAGACAACAGACAGACTCTCGCTTCCCCATTTGATCCCAATTTAATCAGTTTTGCCTGAGCAATTGTACCTGTAATCTTACTAGTTGACCATGGTTTGTTCCTCCCCAACCCCACCTTGTGAGTTCCCATGTTTCCCACCTGAGACCCACCATGGTTTTACTCC